AGGAGCCCAAATCTATGGGCCTTACTAGCCAGAAATCTGGAATGGAGGCCCCCCCACGAGCCTCCCCACAGGCAGGCAGAGTGCTAGCCTGCGCAGGTGAGGGGAGGAGCCCGGGCCGGGGAAGAACATGGTGCACCGAGGTCTGGCACAGCTCCTGCACTGGAGTGTCCTATGGGTCCCTAGACTCACCATGCCCTACACTGGCGCCGGATCTGTTTCTTCTCCTCTATGCTCTTTGCTACAGACAACACCGGGGGCTCTCCAGCTGTCCCGGGCAAGAACCTGGGCTTCGTCCTAAATTCCTCTGGCTCCTGCACTGTCTACTTTCAACTAGTGCACATTCAATTCCGAGCTCTCTCAATTCTCTCTCACGCAGAGCACGCCCACACACTCCTTGGAATCCATTCTTACGGGGCTTACCTTGGTCCCACCTCCTCCTTTTCCTCCTCAGTTACTAAATAGCCCCCACCTCTCAGCAGGCTTCCTGGTCCATATTGCCCTGCTCCTCCTCCCCTCCTACGCCCTGCCCCCACTTCCGCCAGGGTGTGATTGCCCATGAGCAAAGGTAAGCAGATCGTTCTGCTGCTAAATGCCCTCGACAGCTTCTATCAAAGTCAAATCGCAAAGCCTAGTGTTTGGCGTTCCCTTCTCCAGACTCCTCTCCTGTGAGCTTTTTACCGTCAAGCTAGAGGAGGTACTCGGCCAATCTGTCTGATCACCATGCTTTCATGCAACCTTTTCCCCCTGCACAGAATGCCCTTCCCTCACCTTATATATTTGGCTAACTTGTAATCGGGCTCCAAGACTCAGGTCCAGGCCTCTCCTCCTCAGGAACTTTCCTTGACTTCTCTCCACTTTGCATCAGGGCCCTCCTTGGTACCTACCCTGACCCAGGGCAAGTCTCCAAAGACAAGACATTTTCACAGCTGCGCACCTGCATCAGTACCTGTTCGTGGCTCATGTGATGGGGACTCCCTTCAGGCAGGTGTCATCTCTTCTCTGTCTCCCCAGTAACCAGTCCAAAGCCTCTTGCAGCAGGTGCTTAAAAGCCAACTGACTTTATAAGGACTAAAGTGAAACCTACAAACCAGTCTTTCTTCCCTTCTCTCTGCTCCCATAAACACAGCCACACCACTCGTTGACAGCCCTGGCCTTTTGAGAAGTCTTTGGGTGTTGTGTCTATACGTTATTTCTGAGGACATGGTGCTACTATGAGGGGCAGATGTGCTTCCTCCACCAATGGACTTCTGCTCTTCTAGGTTTTCTCCTTCCAGGAAATTATGGGAATGTCTTTTTTCCTTCTCTTGGCCACCTGAAGGCTTTACATGAGAGAAAAAGTAAGAGAGCACACATTCCACTCATGTGATGCCGAGGGAAAGGAGGTTATTATAATTGAGGACCACCCCGGGAATCATGAATCTCTCCCCCAGGATAAGTCACTGTGACGTTTTTGCCAACAACAAGGACAACTGAATTTAGCAACCACAATCAGCATATCTGGGCCAAAGAGGTATAACCAGTTGCCTCCACGGGTCATGTTTAAGGGGGGGAAACTCTCATATTCCTGTTGTTTCCCACTTCTGTTCGTTAATTTCTCATCAAGTAGCTGATCCCATTTTTGCTTTAGCCTGAGTGAGATTAGTCTGAGATCCCTACCCCGAGGGACATCCAATCCGTCCTTTGGAGCTGACTTACATCTTCAGGATGGGTATTTACTATAAAAGGAAAAACAAAGCAAAGCAGGCAGATGATGTTAATCCTCTGAGAGCACAAGCTGGTCTACTTGGGACAGAACTTTGCCACGATCCCTGGCAGGGTGCTGACCCCAAGACAAAAAGAGGGCGAGATCGATGTTTGTGAAAAATTTAAAAAGAAGAATGCTGGGCCGTGAAGCTTTATTTCACACTCTTGACCCAAGAGGCACATTCCTAAGGGACATTCGTAGCCAAACCTGGCTAATTTGTCCAGATGAAAAGTAAGGAATAGATGAACACAGTGTTTCAGCCAGGTATGCACAGCTGTTGGCAAGAAAGATGAAATCACACTAAATTAAGCTCAATTATGGTGACTTCTTATTCTTTCCCCAAGGTGCAGGGAGAGGGCTGACCTGCATCCTCTGGAGATTTGGAACTCCTCCAAATTCAACTACAGATTCCTTGTTGTTTCTGTAAAGTAGGCTTTTGGAAAAACTTTAGAAAAATAGCAATTCGCAGATGGCATGCTGAGGTGGACCAGAAAGTAGCCTAACAGGGCTGATATTCCTGCCAAAGCACCTGGTCGCACGGAAGAAAGAGGCGTGGATCCGAGAGGAAAAGCTGGCTCTTTTTAGAAGCACTTCATTTGATTTCATATTTCATTTCTCAGAAAGTATAAATTAATTTGGAAACTTCAACCGGTGTCTACTCTTGGACTTGGGAATCAAATGAGAAACTCTTGGGCTGGGCTTGGTGAGGGCTGCCTCTTGGGTGCTGTCCGGGAGGCCACCCTGTATAGTCTTTCCTGACAGAGTCGAGCAGTGGCCTTCTCAAGAAGCCATACCCAGGCACGGCTGGGGGGGGTGGCCTTTGGCCCCCAACATTCTGGGATGCCGCTGTTTTCAGGTGTGGACGTTTCTACAGCTTGACCCATCAGCTCAACTGCAAATATACTTTTTCCCACAAACAGAATCCTTCGTTGTCTCTCGTGCTTTCTTTCAAATAGGTTTTGCCCTTTAATTTGCTAAGGACTTTCTATTTTGAATCCCAATCCAATTCTTTGGGAACAGGACAGTTTGATAGGTCAGCAGAAGGTGGGTGTATATAGGAAAGAGTCCTCTGTTTTATCCAGTCACCAAATAGCCTGCTTTCTGACCATATCCCTTGGGCCTATAAAGAAAATCTTGGATATAAGAGCTTATCTATGTCACTTTCTGACTGAAGAATCTCTGAAGGAGAAAATTCTTATCAATTCTAAAGAAAAGAATAGAAGATGCTTACATAGGGGATAGTCCCTGAACTTTGGAATATTTTGGCTTTTATTATAAAACAGCAATAAGAAATTTATTCAGTTTTTCTGCCATTCATTTTTCTTTAAAAACATGCTCTCATTATTCTTTTCTCACCTCAAAATGACAGCATATAATGAGCACACCTTCACCTACTTTGGGAGGATGTTGAAGGTGTACATTAAAGTTGAAAGAAATAAAGAACAAATGAGCGGATGGAAGGAAGGAAGGAAGAAAGAAAGAAATGTAAAAGGAAGAAAGGAAAGAAAGCAAACCTCTTATAATGAGACAGGACCAACATTCCTCTCTGGGAGAGGTCTGTATCCCAGAGAACGGCCTTCCCGCAGGACCCTGCTTGCCCTTGAACACAAAGGCCAAGGCCTCCTTCCCACAGTTACCGATTAGAACCGCACATACACTTTCTTGGAAACATGCCGCCCAGACACTCCACTTGGCCTAGGAAGAAGCTAGTCCAGAGCAATGGCTGGCCCTGCCTCCCTTGGTCCCTCAGGTACTTGGGTGCCCCAATGACAGATGACCTGCTGGCTTCCCTAAAGCATGGCTGAGGCTCATCTGCTACCCATCACCTGGGGCTCAGCTGCTTGAGCACATAACCATGTAGCATGAACTCAGAAATGAGTTTTGCTAGGTCTCCAAAATTATGACACATTCCCTCAAAAACTGTGAAAGAGAAAGAGGACACACATCCCCTCCATGCCAAAATGAGCCATTGTTTGTGCTGTCTGTTAAACACCTTTAAAGACCCACTTGTATCAGCAGAAGAAAGCATCAAGACACATCCCACTCACTCTGGGCATTCACCATGGGATGGGGGTGGCATGGGGAGCATATGGGCCCGCCTGCCACTGAGGGAGAGAACGTTCAAGGAATGCACCAGGGAAGCGACTTCCCGGCAGCTTTGCTCCCCTAATGGACAGGCTCCCTGCATCAGCCTGGCGCTCTCGCCCTGGGTGGTCATGGGCGTCTTTCTGCGCCACGCTTCCATGGCGGGGAGGGGACTCGGTGGAGAGCCTCCTACTTCAACGCTGATCCTTCTCGAGGGAAAGGTCGGAGACAGCAAAACCTCAGGACTCTGGATGCCAACAAAGAAGGCTGTTCTCAGAGCCCCACTCAGTACTGTACTCCCAGAAGCAAGGCTAGTTACCGTTTCTCCACCTAAAATTCTTATTCCTGGGTCTCTGATGAGCATCCTTCCCGAGGACTTCCCAGACTTCGAACAACTTGGGTGTCTAAAAATACAAAATGCACGTATCCTCTTTGAGCCTATCGTGGGTAATTTGGAAATTTCTAGCTCCTGACGAGTAGCTTAAGAAGAGGAAAGATTGACAGGGCAATGTACAAACATTTATTTATGCTGCACAAGAAGGCCTTTATCACCTGTATGCAAATCCATTATCAGGCTTAAAACACTGTCAGAGATTCTCAGTGGTATTTTATTCATGTCCCTGAAACAGATGCAGAGGAAAGGGTTTAAAAGTGTCTTCGGACATCAAAGGAAAAGGGAGAGAGAAAGGAAGCACGACTACAATGTTGCACTAAGAGAGACTTAAAAGAAAGATCCTGTGGTTTGTGTTGCTAAATTATTGACGGTTCCCTGGCCACGGCCAACGAGGTAAGAGGCTGGAGTAGCTCAGCGCCTTCCCAAACAGGACAGGTCGAGCAACGTACATGCACAGTAGATCCTATCACTGTTAGTGGTGACTCATCTAATGGCCTGTAAGTCACTGCATTAAAAAAAAAAAAAAAAAAAAAGGAGTGTTGACCTCTCTTGCTCTGGTTCCTGCTTCCCAGGTTTTGGCAAGATACCCTGGAAGGGGAATCAGAGCCCTTTCCGTCGTGGTTGACCGTGGAGCTCTGCAAGGGCTGGGTCAAATGCACAAGCCTGGGGAGGGGGCCGGGCTCCTCTCTTGCTGACTACCTACCTCTCTTTTTACCCTCCTGACTCCAAATAAAGGGATGGACTCTGTTCCCAGTGGTTTCTCATTTAGTCACTCACCTTTCATACCACTACCTTCTTCTTGGAATGTGTTACGAGCAGTGTTCTGATCTTCTAAGTGTTCACTCCCACCACTTCCTGAAGAGGCTACACTGCTTTGTGGAGACAGGGGGGCATGATCGGATGGGAGGCACTGGGGTCCTCTAGCTCGTAAGTCCTCATGAGACATCCATCCATGTCCTAGAGGCTGGTTTGGCACATTCATGGGTGGGGTAAGGGACACAGATCGTTTCAAAGGGCTGTGGTGTGCCTGGCCTGAGAGAACTGGAAAAAAAAAAATAAAATGAAATAGGTTATTCCCCCCACTTTAGCCTGGGCCACAGAGAACCCACAATACCTTTTAACCCTGAGAGATGATGCTAACTATCTACCGACTCTATCAGTGGTCCCCGCAGGCTGAATACAGGCCTGGCAGGGGCCTTCCCTTCAGGGGGTTAAAAAGGATGCTGTCTGGACCTCTTGGTGGGTTGGGTTTCCCCAAGGAAGCTAAACCTACAGTGCCCACACATCTGGCCTTAGCCTCTGTGGGTCAGGATCTGGTTTTTGTTCTAACTCTAGAAATCAGGATCCGTGGCAGGAGGCCTATAAATCAGGCGAGGCTCGACAGCCTGGCAAAGTGGCCATCTGCCAAGAGCGAAAAGAACATGTCCTGGACAATTTTGGTTTTTTTTTTGAAACCCCCAGAACCCAACGTTACCCATGTCATTAGGGTGGACTCCTTGAAGGGCAGGCAGGCTGGTCACCGTTTGGGATCTCTGCGGGGCTGAACTAGAAGGTGGACTAGGCCTTGCAGCCAGGAAGCAGGGGATCTATCAGTTCCGGAGGGGTGCGGGCTCCGCGAGGGCCACAGTGTGGACGCAGACCTCAGGGTCTGTATAGGACACGGGCAGCCGTGTGTGAAAGGGCCGGTTCTTTCCCTGGACTTCACAGGTTAACGCCAAACTTCACACTGGAAACAGTGCCAGGTAACAAGGCCTTCATTCAGAAGCCGGTGGGGCGCTCGCAGCAAGCTGGGAACGCTTTCCCCCCGCGGTTCGACGCTTCCGCGCAGTGGGCCACATCTGCGCGGGCCCCGTTCTAACATTTCTTTTCCAGAAAACGAGGAAAAAGCAACACAACTCCCATAACTAGCCAAATTAAATGGAGGTCCTTTGAGGGAGGGATTTCACCAAAATCAAAGCCGGGAGAGCCGACGTTACCCTCGGTGGGCTTTTCCGGGCATGTAAAGAGACAAAACTTTACAAAATAAGTCTATTCATAACATTCTCTCAGCCCCGCTTCCTGACAGGTCCGGGTTGTTTTGACTGCGGCCATGCGCACATGGAATTGAGCCACATGAATTTTTAAACATTTTTTCAGGGAAGCCATTAAGTTCCATCTCAGGCCGTATCCCCTACAGTGAGGTCTTTGGTCTCCCAGGCCCAGACAAGCACTTCTTTGCTGGTGTTAACCTGTGTTTTTTAGTAAGCAGACCTGACACCACAGTGTAAGAAGTTCTGCTCTGTGTTAGACTGAGCAGCGCCCAGCCCACAAAGACCTGAGCAGCAGACTACCTTGCCCCCACTTCAAAGAGAAAGACCAGAGCCAAGACGCTGGGGGTTTCCAGAAAGTGTATTTGGGGGCAGTGGTGGGTGTGGGAAGGTAGCTCGTGGTCAGCTGGCATCGACCAGGCTCCAAGAGCAATGGGGCTCACATCTCTGTTGTCAATGTTTCCTTCCATGTGGCTTCATGCAGCCAGAAGGGGCAGCTTGTGTGAAAGGGGGGCAGCTGGAAGGGCTAGAAGCTTCTTTATTAATAAAACAGGGAGGCAAAAAGGGAGCTGCCGAGGTTACTATTTGCAACCTGAGAGATTCCCGCCTGAGGTAGATTCTATCAAAGGCAAGGAATTATCACTGGACTTAAAAAAAATGCAAAGGGAATATTGTTTAAAAAAATTTTTTTTGACCCTAACAGGCTGAAATAGCTTGCTTTTCCACTAAATAGACTAGGGAAGAAACTACTGAAAAAGGCTCCCTGGAAAACGCATTGCTACCTGGCTGGATCAGAATTAGCAAGAGAAAAAGGAAAAAAAAAAAAAAGCAGAAAGAAAAAAGTAAATAAAAAGGAAGCAGCAATAAAAATGAAGAGAGAAGCCAATAGGAAGAAAAGCCAGACATCCAGAAAATCCATTTCATGCCTGTCTAAGTATTTATATAAAATTGGGCAGACTTGTTGAGGGCTGCATCGAGTGCCGGGATGGTCCAGCTTAGACATCTTAGCTTTCTGACATCTTGGCAACCGTTTCAGACTCTCTGATGGATGCTCTGAATGGTGCCAGCCAGGTGTGCCTCAAGTGGACCTGGGGGCCCCTCCTTACAGCCAGGATTAGAGTAAGCCCCAAACCATAAAAATGGGCCTTGCTAAAGAGAGACACACAGCTTTGAACTGGCAGAACCCTTAGCACCTAGCCTGGTTAGAGGTTAGTCCTAAGTGAGGCTAAGAGAGTCCCCATCTTTAGATACTGAGAACAATACCCCAAATACGGTATTTGGATGGAGCCCATTTGCATCTTTCCGCCTAAAGTTTTCTTAAATGCCACACTAACTCCCCATGGATGGGCATCCTTGGGGATGCTTGTTGATATCCAAGGAATCCACTGGTTATTAGAATGGAACAAGACAGTAGTTACCTAACTTAATGGGACTCACAGGGATTTATTCATAGACAACTACACGCATGTCCTCGTATATTCCTGAGCTTGACTGACGTCACAGGGAATATGGCATCCACTTGGCCTCTGCCTCTAATAAAAAATCAATTATAGCTGAGGTGCCAGGGTCTTTTCCCAGTAACTTTCTACTACAGGCTCCACCCTGTCTGTATCATAAAGACTCCCACAGCTGACACCAAAACAGCAAGGTCTCCTTAGGAGTCAACCTCCTATAGCAACCAAGCAAAATGTCTCACACTAAGCTCCCGATTTGCAGAGAGGGCCATGCGTTTAGACCCAGGCAGGGTGCCACACGTCATGCTGGGCAAATGCCTCATTTCTCCAAAGAGAACCAAGGCCCCAAAGCAAGACAGGCTCGTCTTCCTGTAGGAAGGAGACAGAGGCAGGTGACAGGTGACCTGCCCAAAGTGCCATTTTGTGGTGAAGACAATTCTTCAGGTAGAGATACTAGGTAGAGGCTTTGACCACAAGGCCAATTTTGGTGTTACTTCGTGTGCTGGGGTGCTTTCTTCAGCACAAAGTGGCAGAGGCAATGATCAATGCCATGGGCAGTGTGCAGAAAATAGGCCACACCACTGTGGCATTAATGAGGTGGCCAGGGGCAGAGCGTTGATGGTTGTCCCCTAACTCCATTTTATTTTTTAACCAAAAGAACTCACCTCAAGTGGTGATAAATAGAGGGAAAATGGATATTCAAGCAAAAATAAATACATAAATAAAAATTCCTTTTTCCTGTGAGTAGGGAGGGAGAGCAGTGAAAACAATCTTCTGTTAGCTGTCCCAGAATGACTCTAGCTAGAGGCAGACCTTTAGAATATTCCCGCTTGCTGACTGCTCCGCAGCAGACAACGGCCAAGGCTTCAATCAGACTGAAGCTGCCCCCAGGTATATTCGAACACTGCAGAATTAAGTACACCTTGGGAAAAAAAAAAAATCTCAAAATAGATTAGAAATTGACAGGTTCCAGCAGAATTGAAGTCCTGAATTTATATTGCATTTGTGACTTTATAATAGCGAGAGGGGAGGGACAGCGTGTTTCTGGGTGGATTCATTATATTGAAAATCCTACTAAAAATTACCCAGGGGAGCAAGGTTGTGCCTCTTTTGCTCTTGAAAAACTGAAGCTAAAACTTTATAATATAGTGTACAGTATAGATTCAATATTGCTTATTATTTTTAGAAGGAAATATAGGTTCAATATTGCTTATGTCTTCTTATAGGAAATTTCAGGAATGTCCACATATCCATGTGTGAATACATATGTATGCCAATAAAATACTGTGATTTGGGGAGCATTTATAAACTCAAGTGAACCAAAAATAAATAACAAATACTGAATAAGTCTAGTTGAAATATGGAAAAAAAAGCTAAAAATAATCTTGCTACAGCCATGGAGCCATGTGATGTGAGTACAGAGGGTCTTATATCTGGCAATAAACTCTGTCATACCATTCTTGGCTAGCCCACTTCTCTGACCTCATTTAACCTTATGATTTCTTTTTCATCTCGAAACATCTTTGATGAAACTCCTGTCAACGTCTTTTTAGAGGAAGATACGATACCTGGCTCTGGGATCTGTTCTTTTAAGTATTTTTTTGAAAGCCTGGAAATCAGATTTCTTACCCCTTTCCTTTGACCAAACTTGACTTCAGCTCGATGTTTAGTTACTGAAATAAAATTCAGTGAAAGGCTTTTTCAGATAGACTCTTTTAAGAAAGTTAGGTAGAACTACTTTTTCTGCTTTCTAATGTGACAAATAATAGGGCTTGTAGAAAGAGGAAGTTTGGGGATACTTGCCCAAGGAGCTCTTTGGTTCACTGTCAGGTTAAACATTATACCTCACCGTCGAGGAGAGAAGTGATCCCTACAGGTGAACAGTCCAGCTAACTGAACTCCACTGTCACTGAAACTTTATCCTAACAAACTTTAATGGAGATCTTTCAGAGATACATTGCAGACTTCCCTCTTCTCCTGAAACTTATCCATTGAATGTAATTTCTGCTTTAAAAATTATTATTAGGAGCCTAGATTCATAACATTTCAGAGCTGGAAGCCCCCTGAAAGGTAATTCAAGAATTCCTGAGTCATGAGCTCTGGGCCCCTGGGTAGTGAAAGTCCCTTCAAATCCCTATGTGCACCACACTTTGTTCATCAATAAAATACTGTGTTGCAAATCATTTTTATATGTATGCAGGGTTTTAACATTAATAAAAGACAAATTAATTTACATGTTGCTGAATTCAGAGCTCTTTTGGTCACTTTTTTCTATCAGCAGATTCAGAGTACAATTCTTATTTTATGGGGACCCCGGTTTTTTTCTATATTAAAAACTGAGGCCCAAACTCAATAAATGATAGGGATGATTATTGTTGCTCTCTGATTTGCTGAGTGAGGTTTCCATGGGCAGTATAGGCAGCCTCGGGCACTGCTGTGCTCCAAGTCTTCTGCACACCTCTCATCGTCAGAGTATTTCCTCCAATCCCATCCACCAGCTGCTTGCATTGCTCCCACTATGTGTTTCCAACTCCTTATAGGCTTAACATTTTGTTCTAGA